CTAACTTTAATTTCCTCTTTTATAAAAATTTCATTGTAGGGTTTTATGAGAATTGAGTCTGGCACATAGAAAATGCTCAATACTTGTGAGATATAATTATTCTAAAAAGCATCTCTAAGTCTCCTTCAACTCATTAATTCAAATGTCAAGCCTATACTTCCTTCAGCGCATCCTCCTACAGGCTGAGAAAACTACAGAGAGAAAAAAAAGTCCCACCTCGTACACGGAGTTTATACATGCATGTGAGGTATCTATGGTCAACTATATGCAATTACTAAATTACTAGTGATGAATGAAGATAATACATGAGTGGAGTAGAAGTGTTGGGAAGAAAAATAAAACAAGCTAAGAGTATAGGAAGGCTGGGTTGGTTTAAGAAATGCTGTGACCTGACTCTAGAGCAGAGACCCCAATGATGTAAGGAAGCCTGGGTGCTGATGCATACCTTTAATATTTTAACAGCCCTACATCATAATGTTATAAATAATGGATGATTCTTAACTTTGGAAACGTTAGACTTGCTAAATAATTTATTCCAAATGCCATTGTCTGAAACAACCAAGAAGAGAAAAAAAACCACGTCCCAAACCCTTTTCACTTTTCTTTTTTTTTTTAAAGATTTTTATTGGGGAATTGGGGGATGGGAACAGTGCTGGGGAATTGGGGGAAGGGGAACAGACAAGTTGCTGTCCTTTTGTTCTTCAGTCTAGTTGTGGAGGATGTTGCTTCACTGGCCCATGTTGGTGTTATCATTGCGCTCTTCCCTGGCGAGGCACATCAGTCGCCAGCTTCTGGATGGCCGCTCACTGCGGCTGCTGGCAGCTCACGCTGGCTGCTGGCTACACACAGTAGCCCATGGCAACCCACTGCGGTGGGGGCTGCAGCCTATGCCGCCGCCGGCGACTCACGGCAGCCCAACTCCAGGTTGAGCTGTTGTTCACCATCTTAGCTGTAGAGGGCAGTGTCACTGGCCCTCATATGTGGGATCTGAACCGGGGCCCTCTGGCGTCCCAAGCCAGTTCTTAACCATCGTGCCACTCGCCCGGCCCCCTTCAGATGGGAAGAGCACAATGATCATAATACCAACATGGGCCAGTGAAGTGATGTCCTCCACAACTAGACTGAAGAACAAAAGGACAGCAAGTTGTCTGTTCCCCTTCCCCAATTCCCCAACGCTGTTTCCCTCCCCCAATTCCCCGGTAAAATCTTTAAAAATAATAAAAAAACAAAGAAACAAAAACATATACTTATTTGGCCTAGCAATCCAACTCATAAAGGAATAAAAGAGAAGTAAAAATATATGTCCAAAGACTTGCGTGCAAATGTTCATAATTATTAATAGACCAAAGGTGGAAACAACCCAAATGTCCATCAACAGGTGAATAAAAATTGTGGTATGCCCATAGTATGGAAAATTAGTCAGCAATACAAAGAAACATTTACACGTACAACATGACTGAATCTCAAAAACATTATACAAAGTGGCAGAACTCAATGACAAAAGAATACATACTGTACACACATACATTTATATGAAATTCTGGAAAAGGCAAAAGTATAGTGACAAAAAGCAGACCAATAGTCGCCTGGGTGCGTGGTGGGTAGCATGTGGGGAAGGCAGGGAAGACGCTCCAAGGACACAAGTAAACTTTTTAGTGATGGAAATATTCTATATATGGATTGCGGTGGTAGTTGCATAACTATATACAATTACTAAAATTCACCCAACTGTACACTTAAAAAGGGTGTATTTTAGCCTATGTAAATTCTATCTCAGGAAAGCTGGAAAAAAAATCATCATAGTACATACAACTTAAGATTTGCAATTTCCTTCATGTGAAAAATAATTGTAATAATAAAGTTTAAAAAAATTGAAAGGTGACCTCTGAGTGGTGGGAATATAGTTTTTATTCTTTGCTTCTATTCTAATTTTTTTACAAGGACATTATTTTCCACCATTAATCAATTATTTCCTGAAGTGCTGATGACTTAACTGAAGTAAGTGAATAGTGAAGTCCTATTTGGTTTGGTGGTAGTGTCAGATATTTGAACCTGGATGTCCAGACTCCTTGGCTGGACTCCAGACAAGCGCTTCCCAAACTTCCCTGGTAAGAACATCTTGGGATACTTAACAAAACTGTTTGTGTGGCACACTAGTGAATCTCTTTGGTTAATAAGCCCTCACAGGTGAATCTTACCAATGGGGAATTTGATAGAACCACTGCCTAGATGTAGGATCCGAAACCTCAGGAGTATTTTCTTCTCTTAATATATTAAGGGTCTGTTATTGATGCCAAATACTCTCACTTGTGTATTAGTTACCCCACCTGGACTTTATCACCATTAATCCATTTTGGAAAGTCATCTTCTTTATGAAGCCACCCCTGACTGGGGTTCCATGCAGGCCCCAGGGTTAGGTGACCCTTTGTGGTTCCTTTTCTGTCCCCACTGCCAGTATCTTAATTAAAGTGTATACGCTTCTTGCCTAGATGTTTACTTAATTCAGGGATTGGCAGTACTGACATCTTGGGCTAGACAATTCTTTGTTGTGGGGGGCTGTTCTGTGCATTGTAGGATATTTAGCACCATCCGGGGCTTCTACCCACTAGATATCAGTAGCGACTCCCCCGCCCCCTGGCCTCTCCATAGCCCCTCCACCCAATTATGATGACCAAGATTGCAAAAATGTCTCTGGTCATTGCCAAATGTCCCATAAGACCACAAAATTACCCCATGTTAAGAATCACTAACCTAATTTGTCTCTTCCATCAGTCTAATCATTCTCTAATTCATCCCTTGTACATCTTCCAGATTTCTAAATCTTGTTATTCAAAGTGCAGTCCTTTGACTAGCAGCATTGGCATCATGTGGGAACTTGTCAGAAAAGCACAAGCTCAGGCCCAACCCCAGGTCTACTGAATGAGACTGTGTTTTTTGTTTCTTTGCTTTTATTAGTTTCAGGTGTAGACTTTGCGTTTTTAACAAGATTAACAATCCCAAGTGATACCAAAACTCATTCAACTTTGAGAGGAACTGCCAGGTCTCTAACTTGCTTGAGGGTAAAGATCTCTTGGAACTGAAGTTAAAAACAAAATTCCTAGGTCCTGCCTCTGGTGATTATCATTCCACTGGTCAGAAGTGGGGCCTAGGAATCTGTATGGTTAACATGTATCTTAGGTAATCATTGTCTCTGGGCAAGTTAGGGGACTGCTGCTCTAAAATAAACATCAGAGGGCCGGCTGAGTGGCGCGTTGGTTAGACGTTGGCTTGGAACGCCAGCTCTGAGCAGCAGGGCCCCGGTTTGGATCCCCCATGAGGGCCAGTGACGCTGCACCCTCTANAATTATTTAATGTCCTTGGATTAGAAACTTCTGGAGGCATAGACTATAGTTTTCATATTTCTGTCATTCCAATTCCAGTTGTTAATATTTACATAAGGTAAGGGGCTATACCAAACTTGAAGGAACTAAACATTTAAAATTCTGGCACCTTGGATCTAACTAAACATGATTTTATTTAGCTATGTGTATTTTTCATTTCAAAACAGAAAACAAAATGTCAGTCATCCTTTATGCAGGAGAAAGATCTCTACCTTTCAACCTTTTTAAGGACTCTAGCATTCTGAAATTAAAGCCTTAGTAGGCCTGGTAATTATCTTACCACATATATATTAGGACCTGGAACCTATGAAAGCTTGGGAGAGAGAATGAAATCAAAGATGTGCCTGACCAGTTCTATAATTGTTATCCATGTTTCCCCTCAGAGGGTAGGAGGGACCTCTGCCTAATAGAATTTGAGGCACATGGTATATGTTTGACATATATATTTGTGAAATGAACCAATGAACTATTTCAAAATTTTATTTTTCAATTACAGTTGTCATTCAATATTATAGTAGTTTCAAGTGTACAGCATAGTAGTTAGGCATTTATATAACTTAATAAAGTGATCATCCCAGTAAGTTTAGTACCCACCTGACACCATACAGTTATTACAATATTATTGACTATATTCCCTGTGTTGTAATTTACATCTCTGTGAGGATGTCTTTTCAGTATTTGAAGATACTTTTTTTCTGTATAAAACCTACCCTTCCTGTAAGATTGCCTTAAGCCAGGTGATCTTGTATGTCACACAGAGGTTGGAGAAACAGGATGAAGGCAGACATGCTATGATATTTCCTCCACTCTGGGAAAAGGCTGTGTTTCAAAAGTGAGTTGCCATGCAATAAAATTAATGAACATGATTCTAGAGTCATGGCATTTTCTCTCACTGCATTCCTGGGCATTGTCTTCTCCAGATACATTTCTCCAGCAGAGGCTGCTGAAATGAGCAGCAGAGGCTCTAGAAGCGAGCTGTATAGTGCTATTGCTGAGTCTGTCCTGTCTTCCTATAGCTGCTGGTGAGCAGATAGTCGGGTGCAGTTTTCCCACTGCCTCCATCACCAAGGAGATCACAATGCAGGACCGCTACAGCAGAACATGCAAGAAAGGCTGTACATCACATCAGCATCTTTTCAGGTATTAAGAAAGGGAGCCATTCTTCCGCTATTTGAAAGTTTCCTACAAATGATGTTGTGGTCCTTTTTTGTGGTCATGTGATCAGTTAAGAGGGTAAGGAGGATCAGAGGGTCTGTGAGGGTCATCTTCAACTGAGTACACACATGAATAGTCTTGGGTTTAATCCCTCATTTCCTGAGCCCTGTGGCCAACTCAGAGCACAAGAGATTACCGGTCAATACACTGTCATTAGTCTTCGGATTGAGAAATGACATATATTGTGATTCTCGCTACTTAAAATGGAGAGAGTAAAGAAGCAAAATTATTTTAAGATGAAAGTAAGAAAACAGAACAGAACTTATTTATAAATCAAAGGTACAGTTGAGATACACATGTCCCTGGAGAAGGCATTGAGTACTNAATAATAAAGAGATGTAAATTCTAGATGGCTACACAGTTGCTTCCAACCACACAGAAAAGAGCACAAGTATAGTCTTTTCAATCTCAAAAACTCCAATGTTTTATTAAGTTTTATGTACATTGATATAAAGTCTTGAAAACTGATAAAAACATATCCAGAGTTTCTTCTATAGTCAATGTACAAATGCTCACTTATATTCTGCACATTAATAAAGAAGATGAAAATGACTCAAAAGTTATAGCCACATAAAAATATATACAAGGATTCAAGACACATGACGTTATTTGGCTTGTAACATGTGTAGATACTACACAAAAGAGGATGTAATTTACAGAAAAGTAAAATGTGACCCAAATCACTTTTCTTCTTACAATTTAAAAATAAAATTTCTGATAATAGCAATTAATAATTTACAGCCAAATATTAGACTAATTCAAATTAGCCAGTATTAGACATAGGTTAAGTTAAACACTTTGCATTTTAAAAAATAAGATTTTTTTCAGTCAAAAATATACATTTGATAACAATTTCTCAAAAATAATTAGGAATGGCTTGTCCAGGTCCTTCCAGATTCCACAAACACACTAGAAAAAGTGAGTATTGAACAGCTGATTCTTTGGAAAGTTGCATCCCCCTACCTAGTACTGTAAAACATCCTTAAGGGGCCCAGTGATCCGATCCTAATGGGAAACTCACATTGCACCAATAATACTGAGAACGAAGAGATGGAAGGAACAACCAGCTGTTTTACTGATGTAGATTATAATTATAAGGTATGAGGGGATGTTAATGTGGTTCTGAAAAAGGCTGAACTATTCTTAGGGAGTCAGTTAGATATTGAGGATGACTAATCTTATGATGGCCTCAGTATCTCATACATGATCACAGTGCTTTCTCGCTAATAGCAAATTTAGCTTCCAACAACTCTTATCTGTATTTTATTCTACTGGTTTGGGAAACAGCTTCCTGTTTTGACAATTACATGATGTAATATAATCATGAATAATTAAGTTAATGGTTCAGAAAAACAAAATGATAGTTTTAAAAAAGAGCTAATACCCCTTGCATTAGGTTGGGACATCAGGCTAACAGGGCTTAGGGTTGGAAAGCAAAGGGCGGGGTGGTCAGTGCATGGGCTCAGGTCCAAATTTGCAAATGCTCAAAGGAGAGGAACAGGGCAGGGGGAAGGGATCTACACAACCCAGAATGCTAGTGGCACCTGGGCATGGAGTGACCACAGTGGGTCACAGACAGGCTGGTGCATCTGCCTCTGCCCAGGTGCTGGGGGAACCAACTCTCACTCAGTATTAAATTGAGAACACAAATATCTCAAAGCACACTTAACAAAAGTAGATTATTTACCCTCAAATCACAAAGCACAGGAGGAGACATTTGATTATTTTAAAAAGTGATCTAAGAAATTATGAGGTTTCTCCTTACTTCATCTTAAAAGCTAACCCAAGGAACAAACATTTAAAAAATTCTAGGGCTATTAATATGTTTAAAAGGTACTTAAAACATTCCTTTCCAGTCCAACTGAAAATACATCTCTGGCAACTACATTTTAGATAAATATTAAAAAAAAAAAAAGCACATGATTTTGGTACATAATTTTTCTTATAATTCAGTGATATTTACCATCTACAGGGCTGAAGGTTTTGAAGGATAGAGCCCCAACTTTCTGCAAAACCACCTGAAAGTGCTTTTATTTCATAAACAGGAAGGGCACTAATGATTCGCTCTTTCACTGACAACATCCTGTAGTCTTTTAAGTAAAATATCATCATTTTCTTGACAGAGGCGTTTGGCAGGTGATTCTGCATCACTATCAATGGCTATTGCTCGCTTCTTGGCTCTCTGCTCACCTTGCCTTATCATGTTGTTGATATCTTTCAAACTCTGTGCAAAAATAGAGGACATGTGTGAGTAAGTGGGAAAAAAAAAGGGAAACAGCAGCAAAGAACTAAGCTAACTGCTTTTCCCTGCCCCTCCATCCTCTCTCCAAGGCTAACTACTGGGGTAGAGACTATTTTCTCAATCAAGGCCAACCTAATAAGGTCAAATAGAGCTAATCTTTTTAGGTGGTTCTGAAAATTGAATTTACCAGTAGAGCAGTAGTTCTCAGAGTGTGGACACCGGACCAGATGCTGCCGAGGCACCTAGGAACTTATTAGGAAGGCCAATTCTCACGCCTCACCCTACACCTACTGAATCAAACTCTGTGGGGGTGGGCCCAGCTATCCAGTTTTACCCAGCCCTCCAGTGAGTGATTCTGATGATCCCTGAAGTGTGAGATTCTCCTCCTAGAGCAATGCTTTTCAAACTGTAACGTGCCTGCTAATCATCTGAGGACCGTGTTAAAATGCAGATTCAGGTTCAGTGGCACTGGGGAGGCCCGAGTGTCTGCATTACTAGAAAAAAACGCTCCCATGTGATGCTGAGGTTGCTAGTCTGCAAACCACACTCTGAGTAGCAAAGTCTTGGAGGAGTGTTTCTGGAAAGCTGTGCATCAGTATTGTCTAGGGACCTGCCTGCCAGAGCTTTGTGATTCAGCCGGTCTATGGGACAGGTATCTGTGCTTAACAAGCTCCCCAGGTGATTCTGACCTATGGTTTTGAAGTCATTGCCTTAGAAGTCAATTGATCCCATCTTTGATGTCATGCAAGAATCTCTTCTAAACATCCTTACAGGAAATCAACTTCTATGAATAGGAAATGCATATCTGTGAGGTGCTATATCTCAGTCAGCTTTGTTTGCTAAGCATAGGAGGAACTTAATAGATGTTTGTGAAACTGAATGAGAAACAAATGAGTTAAGGAGCTGCCATTGTAGTTGAACTGAGTTACAATTTGTCCGATGACAATTTCTTCCAGTTGGTAGTGATTCTGGCTTCTGGAGACATACTGAACATATCTGCTTGATAGCCTTTGAAATATCTGAGAACAGCCATCATGTGCCTGTAACATCTTCATTGTACAGGAATAAAGCTAGAGACAACCACAAAGCTGTTTGTGTAAATAGGAGGAGGCTTCTATTTTCAGACTTTTTACTATCCTTGTTGCCATCCACCAAATGAACCTTTCCTTCCAAGGCCTTTCTTTAAACTTAATGTTCCCCATGTCTGACCACTGGTTGCCTTACTGGTGCCTTCTCAAGATCATGCTTGAGCAGGAGACACACTGGGCTCCTGCAGTGAACTCCCCTGAGACCACGTCAATAGTAACGGATTAAACTACCTCAACTGAATACACTGCTCTTGATCACAGGAAACTTGCTATATATAGTAACAGTTCATATTTATGAGCAGTAATTTGGCAAAAAAAAAGAAGAGCGAGATTAAAGATTACTAGTTGGTAATACAAAATTCAATTTAACACATGTGCATAAGCTGTTTCGGAGTAGTTTGTGTGCACCTTACCTTAGAAGGGCTGCCATTGAACTTATACAGCAGAGCGCTTCTTGGTGTGAGGCCTGACCCGTTCTTGTGTGGGGAAACATAAATGGAGTGCTGCTGGGAAATGCGACGTGGTGAACCTGGCTGTTGCTTAATATGTGGAAAAGGAGAAAGAGGTGGAGCTTCCATCTGAAATAACCCAAAAGTAAGTTTTTTTATGATAAAAGTTTTCTTTTTTTGAAGTCCACCACATTTTTATTCGTATTGGCATCTCCCAGTTAGGAGTCAGTTATTAGGTTGGTGCAAAAGTAATTGCGGTTTTTGCATTGTTGAAATTTGTCTCTGATATTGAAATACATTCTTAAATAAATGTGGTTATGTTATACATAATTTTAGTACACATTTCCTGCTTTATGTTTTTATGCTAATGACTTATTGCTGTTTATTTTATATGTATTTTAGACTATGGAAATGATTTTAAACAAAAAGCAAATTTGAGCAATTTTCTTAATCGAGTTCAAAACGGGTCATAAAACAGCAAGTTAACTCACAACATCAACAACACATTTGGCCGACGAACTGCTCACAAATGTACAGTGCAGTGGTGGTTCAAGAAGTTTTGCAAAGGAGACGAGAGCCTTGAAGGCGAGGAGCGTAGTGCCGGCCATCAGAAATTGACAACGACCAAGTGAGAGCAATCATTAAAGCTGATCCTCTTACAACTGCACAAGAAGTTGCTGAAGAACTCAATGTCGACCATTCTATGGTTGTTGGGCATTTGAAGCAAATTGAAAAGGTGAAAAAGCTCCATAAGTGGGTGCCTTATGAGCTGACTGCAAATCAAAAACATAGTTGTTTTGAAGTGTAGTCTTCTCTTATTCTACACAATGACAATGAACCATTTGTCGATCGGATTGTGACATGTGACGAAAAGTGGATTTTATACAACCAGTGACGACCAGCTCAGTGGTTGGAACTAGAGGAAGCTCCAAAGCACTTCCAAAAGCCAAACTTGCACCAAATAAAGGTTGTAGTCACTGTTTTATGGTCTGCTGCTGGTCTGATCCACTATAGCTTTCTGAATCATGGCGAAACCATGACATCTGAGAAGCATGCTCAGCAAATCGATGAGATGCACTGAAAACTGCAACGCCTGCAGCCGGCATTGGTCAACAGGAAGGGCCCAATTCTTCTCCATGACAACGCCTGACCACATGTCACACAACCAATGCTTAAAAAATCGAACAAATTGGGCTACGAAGTTTTGCCTTATTTACCATAGTCACCTGACCTCTCACCAACTGACTACCACTTCTTCAAGCATCTCGACAACTTTTTGCAGGGAAAACACTTCCACAACCAGTAGGATACAGAAAATGCTTTCCAAGAGTTCGTCGAATCCCAAAGGACAGATTTTTAAGCTACAGGAATAAACAAACTTTTTTCTCATTGGCAAACATGTGTTGATTGTAAAGGTTCCTTTGATTAATAAAGATGTGTTTGAGCCTAGTTATAATGATTTAAATTTCAGTCTGAAACGGCAATTACTTTTGTACCAACCTAACATATTGTAAGAGCTTATTTATGGCTGAAAAATGCAAAGAAATTGTTCATTACCCTTCGTTTTTCAACAATTACTAAGAGATAAACTAAAATTTATTTTCCTGAAGAATTCGGGTAAGAAACCAGAAGCAGTAAGCCAGGAGCACAGGAACCTCGCTTCTATTCTCAGAGAGTAGGGGCAAAGAGCAACCACGTCCCAACACTTGCAATAAGAATCTCTCTCCATACACACATACCCACGACCAAAGCAGGAGCAGAGATAATAAAAAAGGGACAGAGAATTCTATGAGACAGCAGGATGGGTCCAACATGGAACAAGTCAGTTAATGAAATGGTTAAGCCTTTATATTGAAATACAAAAGATTTAGAAATAGAGTTAGGTGAGCAGGGACTATACATTTCTTTAATATTCTGTACAACGTTTCCAATCCAAGAATAAATGGAGATGGCTCCTTAATTATTATTTCATTTATCATCTGTACTTGAAGTTAATAAAACTAGTTTCAATTGGCTGATGACAGATATTCAGAGCACAGCACATGATGGGAGGTTGAACTGATGGAGTAGGATGAGCAGTCATGGCCTCTAGGATAGTCACAGACCATGTTCCTTGAACGGAACCAGAAAGAAATGTAGAAAGACACAGAGATATGGCTACTGGCTGGATGCAGCTTCTACTAAGTTCCTTTTTCTTATAACTAAAGTCTGATCTACTGGGGACCAATTCAGTTTACATACTGGTAATGCTACTTTCATAGGCCTGCTGGTACTGCCAAAGATAGGGTCTGCTTAAAAAAAA